ATATATATATATATATATAATTCTAATGAGGTGCTTTATATACACAATAGTTAAATTTTTATAAAACTTAAAAGTGATATTAATAATATATTATTTAGCAATTTTTTTAATATAATATTAATTATTATTAATCAAGGGATCTAGTTCAATTACTTGAGCAGGTGAGTGAGTTGTTATAAACTCTCTTGATATTTCATTAGATTACCACAAATAAAAAATATTCACTACTAAATGAAAGCAATGTGATTCTTATAAAACAATACATGACATTAAATAATAAACGTGTTTAATTAAAATATAATATAACTCACTTATTCACGTACGGGTGTGTTTGAATATATATTATTATAATAATTTTCTATCAATAAGTCGTTAATACAAATTGTTCGATACTTATATTTCTTAATAAAAAATTGAAATTTAATTTCTATCTTAATTATGAAATCACAATTAGATATGATATACCATTTTATCTTTATAAGAATTGATGACTTGATAAAAATAAATTATATCTCTTTATAAAAAAATATAATACTTTTTTATATAAAAGAATGAGATGAATAAATATATGAGTCGTCATATATAATAGATAAATATTTAAAGTCACATTATCCCTTAAAACAGTTATGTGATTATTTTTTTTAAAAAAATACTTACATGAATTATATGTTATAAAATTGTTCATGATAAAATTTATGATTAATATCTTTTTTATTTATTCACATGTTTTTCTCTTCATTCATATATATGTATATCAATTAGAAATATTAAAATATATTGGTGTAACTTTTACAACTATTACACTATTCAATAGTTTTATATAAAAAGTGAATTTGACCGATCTAACTATATTGAATTGAAAGTTTTTTTTCTCACTTAAATCATATATACAAAATTTTATTATAACAAAAAATTATTTGATACTTTATTCATATAAGTCACGTAATATATATTTTTCAAAATATACTAAAATACAAAACATTTGATCACTATCTTATTGTTGTATAATTTTAATAAAATTTGACATACACATTTAAAGTAATATAAAGTTGTAATTTAATAATTGAATTGATCAAGTTCACTTTTTACATATATAAAATTATTAAACGACGATGTAATAGTTTATAAAAGTTATACTAGTATAATTTTATTTCTTTCCACACACACGCACGCGTGCACACACACACACACATATATATATATATATATTAGGAAAAGAATATATGTATATTGATGCATTAGATGTCTCCAAACAAATACATATTACCAAAACTTATATTTTGACAGTTAAATAATAATCTCTTCTAAGAATAATTAAGATATTTACATCTTGTTTGCATTATTTTTTTAATGCTTATGCGTTATTTTGGATAATCTAAACTGATAAATCATATTTTTTTTAAATATTTGTTTTGTATTATGCTTCTTTGTCAAGAAATACTATCTTTTGTAACCATTTTTGTTCTTATGTGCAGGTCCAAATGATGGATGAGTTTTTGTTCTTATATAGTATATACGTATAACCCAATGAGTACAGTCTTAACTGTCTTCTTATTGAGAGAAGCTGGAATGCCAACGTTATGAGTGCATGTAATGATGATTTAGACGCATTTTGTTACAATTCTCCAAGTAACTTATAGATCACTCAGCTTAATTTATTTAAGTAACAGCTAACTTGCTGCATGGTAATCATCAATTCAAACGTCACATTTTCTTTGAAAAAAAAATGAATAAGAAAATTTAAATGTCATTAATTCATTTTTTGTTTATTGAGTTTGTTCTAAGCTCAAATCGACTATATTGTTAAATTAATTTAATATTTTTTAAGTACTGTTTGTTTTGAAGTTCGTGTAAGATGTCACAATTTTGTCTTTAGGTGAGAAAGTGCGTTATGCATCTTTGTTTATTTATTTTGATGAAGATAAAATTGAACATAATTATCTCTTCTGAAAAATATGAGAATTTTACAATAAATTTATTTGTAAATACATGAAGTTAAAACGAAAGAAACATAATTAAGAATGATGTCAACTGTACTGGCCAACAGAGTTGCTGACTTGTCCCTCACTAATCTGCTGACTCGGTCAAAGATTTACCAGTCTAACTAAGCAGTAAGCTCATTATTGCCGAGCTCCTCAGCCCGAACATGAAACATGGACATCGGAACACCACATCGGCCCAAAGAGGCCACGTCATCAAACAAATAAAATACAATCTTGTCACCGCGTCGCCCACGCGTTATGGGAACAAGGTGACGGTTATGACACATGGCATCATGACAAATAGGCGTACGCGAAAAGTCACGACCCCTTGTCGAGCTCGGTCTTAACTCCTCGACCTACGATCTTCGGAGCTCGGGGGGCTAATGTACTATCCGTACCGCTATGCCGAGCTCGAGTCTTAACTCCTCGACCTACGGTCTTCGGAGCTCGGGGGGCTAGTGTACTATCCGTACCGCTATGTTGAGCTCGAGCTTGGCATCACAGCGCGAAGTGACCTCGGACACGCGCTAGACGACATCGGCTAGCTATCCAATTAGGTTATAAACTGATCTCGGGCCCAAGGCCCAACAAAACCCTAATACACACAAAGGTACGTGCATTACTTATACGAGACTCATACACCCACAAACACTAACTTGAGCATCGGAGTCTCTTTTGCAGGTACCACCCCCATCTTGGAGCAGCAAGCATACCAACGAAGAAGGCTCACCGATCTTACCCAACAGATCGTCCCCTACGACCGATCTCTGGTAAGAACATTTGGCGCTCACCGTGGGGCCGATCAAGACAGCTCTTATCGGCCACGCTTATGGTATTCACCCGAAGCCATAATAGACGCGCAACAGACGACGCAGATCGCACGACAAGCATGGACAACGATGCAGCATTGAGAAGGCTGATCGAACAAGTCGAGTAGATGAGGCAACAACACACCGTCGATCTGCAAAATATCCGTGCCAAGCACGAAATTGACCTAGCGGCGCTGCGTACCGCGAATGAGGCTGACCTAGCGGCGCTGCGCGCCGAGAACGAGCATATTCGCGCCCAGCTTCCTCGGCGCCTTTTTGATCAACCCCCTCAACCGAGTAGGCAACACAAAGAGGAGGGGCACTCGGTCTCTCAACCCCCAACCGCACCTAGGGCACCGACTCCCCTACCTGCCACACATCGGTCTCACGCCGCCATCCCTTTGTGGACGACATCATGGAGACACCTCTGCCTTTCGGCTGGAAGCCCCTCCACATCGATCACTATGACGGCACGACGGATCCAGATGAACACATTGACTTATACGTCACACAGGTAAACCTATACACTAATGAAGATGTTATTCTATGTAGGGTTTTTCCAACCTCGCTTAAGGGATCGGCACTCGCCTGGTATACCCAATTGCCAATGGGATCAATCATAGCTTCGACACTCTGGTGAGGCGATTCACGGCTCAATACGCAACGAGCTGACCTCATCACATCACATCCGCCGCCTTGGCCAGCCTCAGACAGGGCGAAGACGAACCATTAAGGACATTCATGGAGCGCTTCGCTGGCGTCTCCGTCAAAATCCGCAACTTAAATCCTGAGGTCGCAGTGCACTCCATGCTCATGGCGTTGAAGCTAGGACCTTTCGTCGACAGCCTTTGCCGACAACCTCCTCCCGACATGGACGAGCTCCGAGCTCGCGCTGCTGGGTACATCCAGATGGAGGAGCATGCCGAGTTTCGCAAGGCAATTCGCGACAAACCACAAGGAAAGCAAGACCAAGGTCAGGCCACGAACATTTAAAGTTGGCGACCTTGTTTGGCGATTACGGGGAGAAGCAAGAACAGACCCCTCCAAAGGAAATTTTGGAACTTGGAACTCCACCCACCTCAAATTTTATTTCTCTTAAATTGTAAATTCAGGTGATGTACTCTTTTTCCTCCTCAGCCTTTTTTCCTACTAAAGAAAAAGGTTTTTGGCCAAGGAAGGTTTAAACAAGGCACACCTCAAAAATAAATCAACAAAGCAACTCCATTCCCATACATTTTCGGTATTGGCACATTAACCATGACGACTTGCCAAGGTCGAGTTCGAATCTTGATGTTAAAGTCGGGTTCGAACCTTCAAATACAAATTACGTTACCAAGGTCGAATCCGAACCTTGATGCCAAGGTCGAGTTCGAACCTTGAGAT